TGTTTAAGTTTAGACTTTGGAGTTAGAGATATTAATATTTGTTTACTTGTATTTGAATATTAGCCTAGGTTGGTTTGGGAAGTCCGGGGGGTGGGGGGATGGGTTATAACATTGTGTAATATCTGTGATGTATTTCTTTTTTTTTTATGATAAAAACAATAAAATTTTATATTGAAAAAAAAAAAAAAAAAAAAAAAAAAAAAAAAAAAAAAAAAAAAAAAAAAAAAGATCCATAGGAATCTTGACAGACTTGAATACTGGGCCCTATCCAATAAAATGAAATTCTGTGGCGAGAAAAATAAGGCTTTACACTTAGGCAGGTATAGAATAGATCAGGGGTCTTCAAACTTGACTCTTTTATGACTTGTGGACTTCAACTCCCAGAATTCCTCAGCCAGCATACCTGGCTGAGGAATTCTGGGAGTTGAAGTCCATAAGTCATAAAAGGGCCAAGTTTGAAGACTCTGGAATAGATAGTACCTGGCTCAATAACAGTAACTGTGAGAGGGATCTAAGAGTCCTAGAGGAAAACCACTTAAATAGGAGGCAGCATTGTGCTGCAGCTGCCAAAAAAGCCAATGCAGTCCTAGGCTGTATCAAGATCATGTGAAATGTTAGTATTGCTTTATACTGCACTGGTAAGACCACACTTGGAATCATGTGTCTAGTTTTAGTCACCGTGATACAAAAAGCGGTTGGGACTCTTGAAAGAGTGCAGAGAAGAACAACAAAGATTAGGGGATTGCGGGCTAAACTATTCAATTAACGTTTGCAGGAACTGGGAATGTCTAGTCTAATGAAGAGAAGGACTAGATGTGACATAATAGCCTTCCAATATTTGAGGGAGTGTCAGCCTATTCTCCAAAGCACCTGAGGCAAGACAAGACGTAATGGATGAAAGCTTAACAGGGATTTACAATTCATACTCTGTATACCAGGGGTGTCAAACTGCCAGCCCGTGGGCCGGACGCATCATGTGAAAGCCGCGCCTACCCCATTGCCGGCAATGGCAAAACCGGCCAAATACGTTGCGCAACATCATGTGATGTCGCGAGTTTGACATGCCTGATGTATACTGAACATAATGAATGCAAATTAGGAACAGAGTAAACATAATAAAGTATGGAAAGGTAGTGTTGGCATATTTCTGTTTTAGAATATTTATATTTGAAATATAATTCAAAGTTTAAAAAGCTAGCAATTATTGTATAGAACAATGCATTCCTATACAATGGAAAATCAACATCTGTATTTGGTAACATTTCAGATCGGCTAGATTAGATTAAGTACAACTTATATGAACAACAAAAATAATGTTGCTCTGGTACATTTTAAAAAATTAAGTACACTTCAGCTTTTACAATATGTTGAAACTCATCTGTACAATTATTTTAGAAGAGGGACCAAGGCATGCTACAATCACCCCAGAACTTGTTAGGTAGTATTTTCTCAATACGTTAATATAGTATTAAAACATCCATTGGGGATCAAAAGAGCTTAATAAATTTCAGTAGCGCCATAAGAATACCGCAGCATATTTTAACCTAGAGGTAGGATTATTTTAATAACCTTTCAATTAGGCAATAATTAAAATTTAAAAGTAAAAATTACTTCAACTGACAGCTAGACAGACACCACCACTTTGGTTCCGACAAAGACAAATAAAGCAGAAATAAAGCTCAAAAGTTGACACGTAGGGTGTGAAGGTCTTTCTCTTACATTCTCACACTGTAATATCTGAATCAAAAGCTCAGAAATGTGGTTCAATATAAAACCAGCAAGATTTCTCTCGATTATGGCCAGACAGGCCTAATCTACATGACTTTAACGGCAGCTTTATAGTAATTAGACATATTGGACAGAATCGGTGCGTGAAAGTATTTCAAACATCAGGAGAAGGTATTTCGTTTTAACGGTTTAACTCTCTCTAGCCCGCCCTCTCCCTTCAAATTTGAACAATTTTCCAAATAGAAGCGCCTCGAGGGAAAGTCGGGCAAATTCTGCCGTTCCATTAAAACAAAAACAAAAAAAAACCACCTTTGCCAAACACGGCATTCTTCCCTAGTAGAAAGCGTGGTTTGTTTTAGCAGCTGGAATTTCCCCCCGGTGCATAGATCCACGTTCCCAAATCCACAGACCTTCAGAGGCGGTCTACCTGCTCCGTTGCTTAGCAGCATGAAAAAGAAGCCCCGCCTCCAAAGCTACCGGCAATTCCCGACTATACCAAGTGAGTGCCGGAAAAGAGGAAGAAGCTGTTAGGTCGGAAGTTAGCCATGTTTTCTCCAGGATAAATAAAATAAAATAAAATAAAATTGCGCAATGACCTCACCTGTGCCGGAGATGTGCCTGAATACGTCGGATTTGTTCATCATAATCGCCTTTATCGCAGCCAGCAACAGGGGGGTTTCGGGCACCGCACACATTTCCAGCCATCACACAAACGCAGCAAATAGGCCTAAGCGCTCGTGTTTATTTTCCGTGGTCTCCAAGCTACAAAATTTGTTCCCGACATGCAGCACGGCCAAATCACGTCTCTAATTCGCAAGCCAATCATCGACGAGGTGAAAGCCACGCCTTCTCTCCCGTGTGCCGAAGCAATCAAGATACGGTAAAAGAAAGTGGCAATCCGCTTGTATTCCAGTATAATTAATGAAAGAAATCTCGGCTCAGTTCAAGGGTGTTAAATAAAGGTAAGTGTGATTTCAGTGGCAGCTTGCTCCATAGGCGGTTACTCAAAAGTCAGCAGTAGCGAGTTTAGTCTGTAGTAAGTATGTTACTGGATAAAATTAATTACATTTAAAAGCAACTAATTGGATTAGCATGGTGGTTTAACGCACATGGATTGGTGTGGTACTTTCTTATCTATAAATAAGTCTGATGAATTCAAGGGATTTAGTTTCAAATTAGCTTCAAGGGTTGTTACTTAATTTGTATGCATTATTATTAGGGATGTAGCAGAATCATCTAGGTCTTGACTAAATCACATATTAGTCCAAAAGATGTAAAAAAAAAGCGTTAACTTTTAGTTAAATCTGAGGTTGTCAGCTAGGTCTGCAGACAGCTTGAAATAGCTGGACTTAAATTTGTTTTTATCTTAGAAAACCTACATACCATATCACATTCCCTTTGTCAGTATATAGGATTCAGATTATTGTTAATTTTATGGAATGCTATAATAAAAGAATTTCGATTCCAAACCATTTTGTTCTCCTTGTGAATGAACACGTCCTTTTCATCACCCTTCTCATAATCCTACCTTTGAATTGCGTTCTTCTGTGAACTCATATTCTGTTTGCTAATGGATCAAATTGCTTGACTTAGAATAGGGTAATAATCACAGAGTATTCAGTCCTTGTGCAGATTGCAAGCGTACACATTATAAAACAACAGTGGCTGAGTCCATAATTTCAGTAATCCATGGTTTGTTTGAAAGTGGTTTATTTTGTGTGCCACTGTGGGTGGATTTTCATCATGGTTTAAAACCACAATAGCTGAATTCACATAGCATGCTAAACCAGAGCAGGCAAAATGTGTTATGTTGAGTACAATGTGTAAATTGGACATACTTTACATTTATTTTGCAATAATTTTAACAAGTAATGAAAATATAAGGAGGTAGACTGCACTGAACTTTGTAGAATAATGCTCCAAACTGGAGTATAATTGAGATATAAAAAAATAAACATGGATCTTTATTTTTACTTTTCCTGTTGATAAAAGTGTATCTAAAAGAAAGGTGAGAAAGAAAGATGAACTGAAGTAAAAATAATCTGTTGCAAAAATGACATTTAAAAAAAAAGTATGACAGATAATAGCATTGAAAACACTTTTATTGTTTTTAGTTTATTATCTTTTTTCCTGATTCTTCCAAAACATAACAGTTACATTCAAAATCTGTTGGGAATCAAGGAACTACGTAAGTTCATTACCATGTTTACTCATGAAGATCCAGAATAAAAGCAAAAGAAAGCAAAAGTCCTGTCAAGATAGAAAATCACTACCTACTGAATTTTAACTAAATTTCCATGGTCCATCCCATTTTTCTTTCCAATAGGAAAAGCACTTTTGGTCAAACTAAAAAAGGTCTGCATCTTGAACATTAAAACAAAAAACCACTGAGGACATTCTACTTAATTCAATCATCTACTGTATTTTTATACTGTTTTCCCTCTAAAAGAGAAGTTAAAAGCTTTTAATATTGTTACACAAAAATAAGTACACTAATTTCACAAGGCAATTAGCCTGAAATATCTTAAATATTTCCCAGTTACCTGAGAATAAAAATGATACTAAACCTATTTAGTCTATAATAGTTAACAACATTCATAAGATTTAGTAACAAGAAATAATAAAATTCCAAGTAAATAACCAAGCTCAGAAAGCACCAAGGACTCCTCAATAATAAAATTTGTCAACATTTTAATCAAACATTATGTATGTATTCCAATAGTGGCAAATATCTGTAGCTGGGGTGTAGGGTGTAGCTGCTTGCCAATAGTCTTGTAGCCCATTCCAGCCTTGTGTAGGTCTACAATCTTGTCCCTGACATCCTTGGACAGCTCTTTGGTCTTGGCCATGGTGGAGAGTTTGGAATCTGATTGATTGATTGCTTCTGTGGACAGATGTCTTTCATACAGGCAACCAGCTGAGATTAGGAGCACTCCCTTTAAGAGAGTGATCCTAATGTCAGCTCATTACCTGTATAAAAGACATTGGGAGCCAGAAATCTTGCTGGTTGATAGGGGATCAAATACTTATTTCACTCATTAAAATGCAAATCAATTTATAACTTTTTTGAAATGCGTTTTTCTGGATTTTTTTTGTTATTCTGTCTCTCACTGTTAAAATAAACCTACCATTAAAATTATAGACTGATCATTTCTTTGTCAGTGGGCAAACGTACAAAATAAGCAGGGAATCAAATAATATATATAATATATATGTGTGTATATGTATATATTAACCAATCCTTGTATATTTATTTTGTTTTATCAATAAAAATAAATTGCAAAATAACCCCATATTATCCAACATCTAAAGATTTAAGATTAAGGCTAGCATGCTTTGCTCTACTATTCAATTCCTATTTTTATCAAAAAACAAATTTCTAAGTTGTGCAAAAGGCCCATTTCCCCCTTAACCATATATTTGATGTTTGTACATCAGAAGAAATCAATTATGAATATCAAAAAACCAAACTGTGAAGAAATGTGTATTAAACTTTACATGTTAAATCCAACATACTAATTAAGATAGCATTCCTTGAACTGACACCGACAGAAAGAAGTTCAGCCTTCAACTTCAGGCCTTCATTTCCCAAGGAAAAGGCGGGAGAAATTTTTTAACTGTAGATGTTCTACAGGAGAAGCCACCTACTGGGAGGATTCCTTAGACATGAAGGAAAGTGGTGCCTCTGAGACATCATGTGTACTTCCATTACCAGTTTCATGAGAACTGGAGATGGAGGAGGAAGAGTTTTTTGGGTAGGGAGGTGATGTGGTGGAAAATAGTCCAGGAGGGAAGAGCTGTATTCCAGAGGGCAAAGAGGCAATGAAGCACAAAAAGTTTAAGTAGGAGAAATATAGTTAAATAAAGATATTTCCTAAATATTCCCAGAATATAATTGTAGTTATGCAAATACAGGTAGTCTTTGACTTACTACCATAATTGAGCCCATAATTTCCTAAGTGAGGCAGTTGTTAAATGAATTTTGCTCCATTTTATAACCTTTTTTGCCACAGTTGTTAAGAGAATCACTGCAGTTGTTCAGTGAATCATATGGTCATTAAGTGAATTTGGCTTCCCCAATTGACTTTACTTGTTGGAAGCCAGCTGGGAAGATTACAAATTGTGATCACATGACCCCGGGACTCTGCAACTGGTGGGGTCCAGGAGAAGAGCTTTTTCTGCCACTGTATCTACTCTCTTGAACATCATATCCCTTTAGATAACATCGTGTAGGAATAGGGTTGGCAGAGCTAGGAGGAGGAGGAGTAAAAAAAAGGCAGCAGCCTAGAATCATTACATAGTCACAAACAAACTAAATCCAACTCACCTTAATTACCAGTGAATGTTATGTAATGTTATCTAACAGTAACTAGGTGCTGATCTTTAGTTGAGAAAATACCTGTGCATAAGGTTTTAGCAATAAATCAGTTAAATTGTACCTTCAGGTGTGGATCTTGTTTTCATGCCTGACAGATCTGCTCCCACTCTTTTGACCTTTTTAAAGGTCTTCAAACCTAGCTTTGCCCATTGGCCTAGGGCCTGGACAGAAGCATGTACCCGGTATCTTAGCTATTTTTTAAATCAATTTTAATGTATTTATTATCTTACTTTTTAATTTTTTATAATATAGTTTTATCAGATTGCAAGCAGCCCAGAGTCTTGTGACAGCAAGATGGGCAGTGAATAAATTTAATAAATAATAATAAAATATCACATAAAGCATTCTACTTGTTTAGGAATAGCAGGTAAGAAATTTACGGTAAAAAGGAATTTGGATAAGGAACATGGATTTTTGCATTATAAGCCACCTGGAATCACAGTTTATCAGTTGAGCAGCCATATATCTTGTGATTGATAAATAAATAAAATAAAAAATTGATAGAATCTTCTCAGGAATATTCCAGATTTATACAAGAGGAATCATTGCTTATGGCAGACAATCTCTCTCTTTCTTTCTCTCACACAATACACACAAACACACAGAAAAGGCAATATGAGCAACAGGTTATTTGTATAATAATAGCCCTAACTATTATTTCAGAATCAGCTCATTGTGATTCTGTGAGCAAATTTATCCTTCACCTTTGGAGAAGGTGTTAAAGGTAAATGGAATTAGTTTGTAGAGTTGATAAGAAAAATATTTACAGTAATAGTAAATACTGCTTGAGAAAGACGGAAACAAAACTAGGGTAGATTTTTAACAGTGCAATTGTGGATATTGAGAGGATGTAAACCCCACTGTATCCAATAAGGCTTATTCCTATTTAAAGTTTTAATTCTATAAACATTTACCTGGACAAAAATCCCACTGAATTCAGTGTAGTAATTTGTTTCTAAATAAACATTCCCTTCTCACCCCTATGGTAATATTGTAATCTCGGCTTCTCTACCAGAGGCTTGGGAGTTGGCTACTCTTAGCACTGGACAGAACAACTGGTGTTGTTACTGAGATCTGTTGGAGCCCCTCTCCCACCTTAGGAGTCACAGCCCCGAGTGGTGTGCCTCAGTGCTGTATTTTAGTCCACTGAATGAATGTGTGTGTGTGTGTGTGCACGCGCACACACATATACACAGGAGTTTTCACTGTGAGTCTATAGGCTTGCCTCATCTTTCTGAAATAATTCTTTTTGAGCATAATGGGAGTTATTGTTTGGTTGATATGCACAGATTGTATTACAGAGTTCAGCAAGACTTGAATTGGAAATTTGCGACTTAAGGTTTTTTTTTTAAAAAAAAGTAATTATATTTTAGCCTGACAAATAATTGTTTTAACATGATATCACTATGACAT